GCTTCATTCTGTGTAAACTCAATGGACTGAGTAAAAATTCAGGATCAGCAGCTTCTGAAATACTCGACCATCTTGTTGGCACCAACAGTCATGCCATCCTCAAAGTCTCTTAGATCACATTTTCACTCCATTCTGAAGGTTGATGTGAACATTAATTGAAGCCCTTGACTCGTGTCTCCAGGATTTTATGCATTATACTGCTGCCACATGATTGGCTGATTGGATAGTTGCATGATTGAGCAGGTGCACAGGTTTTCTAGTAAAGTTGCCTGGCTCAGAAGTTTGAAAACTTATTCAACCTACAAAAATGTACTTGATGTTGTTGCAACTGTTGCAAACTGGTTTTATTTATATCGAAAAATTCACTGAGTAATATATTTTTCCAAGTCCATTAAATCACTGTTTTCTAATCTGGATAAACACAAATACATTGATGCAGCAGAGGATAGCTGGTCTGAACAAAGCTTTCCTAAAAATGAGTGGTCCTTTTTTCTGTCTGTGAACTTGGTTAACTGTTCAGTTGGATTCCTAAACAGAAAGCCATGGAGAAGATCAGTGGTAGAGAGGTACCTGGAGGATGCCGTAACACTTCTCGATTGTTCTGGTCCAGTCTGACCCCTGGTTACCCATAGAATGTATTGAATTTTCAGTGGTTAGTTTGATTTTAATTGGTTGTCTGATTGACTGGTTGGACAGCAGCAGTCCTGTGAAACTGACCAATGATGAGTGGAGTAGAGGGAGTTGATAACCTGCAGAAACAGATGAGCTACAGTCTATGACTGTACACCTCCTTAGTGGAGCTGTAAGGTAGGTGGGGCTCATAAAGTAACCAATCTGTATGTCTCATGTGGTGTTTCCCCTGTTTTTCTCTGTATGTTTGGATTGATGTGATGAGAAATTTCAATTAAACATGAATCTGATGATCATAGAGTGATCTGTGATATAAGTTACAGTACAGAGAGTTTCACACTGTAAATAAAACAGTAAATAATAACAGGTGTGATGAAGCGTGGGTCCTGACAGCAGTGTCAGTGTGTGTGTGTGGGGGTGTGTGTGTCAGTGTGTGTGTGTGTGGGTGTGTGTATGTGTGTGTGTAAAGCGGGAAGATGGCTAATGAAAGCATCTTTCCATTCAGGTGATTACCGGCAGTACGATGTGCCACTATTCATAGACTGATTTATATTTTGCCCACTGTGAGATTTTCCACTCTGCATTCAAATTCAGCCTCGGCACTTAAAACACGCCTCTTCAACTGCAGTGTGTGTGTGTGAGTGTGTGTGTGTTGTGTGTTGTGTGTGTGTGTACTCGTCTTTAGCTCTTTGTGAGGACAATGATATGTCATGATTATAGAACAACATTCTAGTTATGTGCAGTTTTGCTAATCCTTACAGGAAGGTTAGGGCTAGGTTTAGGTTTTGATTACTCAGGTTACAGTTAGGTTTAGGTTTGGATACTCAGGTTAAGGTTAGATTTAGGTTTGGATACTCAGGTTAGGTTTAGGTTTTGGGTACTCAGTTTAGGGGTAGGTTTAGGTTTTGGTTACTCAGGTTAAGGTTAGGACTAGGTTCAGGCTTTGGTTTCTAGATTGTCAAAAATGAATCAATAACAACATCAATAAATGGCAAAATGCTACATTATTTGATTCCCTTCTGTTTTGAGTGATATGAACTCATTCAGCCAGTCTCAGCTGTCTCTGGTGTTGGCTTGGCAACAACCAAGCTGGCAGTGTCCCAGCAAATAGAACATTGTGACAAACATCAGGATTAGTTTGCCCTCTGCTTTGTCATGGACAATGTTAGGATCTCCAAAATCAGCTCAAACTGGACTAAAGACATCTGTGTTATATTTGGAAAAATGTCAGTTTCTGAATTAAGCGAGAAAGCTGTCCATGCTGCTTTCACTTTAGCAGAATGGAAAGTAGCCTGCACAGTGTTAGAGGTTTTTCATTTCATTTAGTTTTATGGGATGAAAAAGGTATCCTTTTGCATTTAAGGACATTCCACCTGTTTGTCTGTTTTAGCATGAATAGCACAGCAAAATTTCAAACAAACTGTACACAAAATCTACAATGTGCACATTTTCGATACCTGAAAAAGTTACTTTTTTAGTTTCACATTTTCACATTAATACAGAAGTCAGAAGTCCTCACAAATATAGCAGCACCAATACAAAAGTGAGTGACGCCAGATACACACACAAACACACTCCAGACATATTTGGGGACTTGTGTGTGTGTAGCGGCTGTTAGCATGTGCTATACTGGTTTCTTTTGTCTTTCTCTCTTTATCCCCCTTTCTTTCATCCCTCTCTCTTTCATCTGCTCATTCTTTAGGCCGTGTGTGTGTGGAGTGGTCATTCTTTAGCTCGTGAGCGGCTGTGTGTGTGTGTGTGTGTGTGAGGGTTTAAGCCTGTAGATTTAACCCAGTCTTTGAAACTGATCTCCACGGCCACAAATACACACTCTTTTATCTCTCGCTGCACATACCTGCCTTTTCTAAAATAAACTCTCCATTATCACTGAACACACACAGCAGGGTGGGGACAGTGTGTGTATGTATGTGACTTGTATGTACGTGCAGACTGTTAGCCTGTGGTGGAAAGTTCCAGTTTTTCCATCCCGCTGTCTGCCAGGCCTGCTCTGCTTTACTGTTACGCTTATGCATCCATTTACAACGTTGCCCCATCGCATCCCATTCACTGCAGAGCTCTGCCGCATCACGCGGTGCATGATGGGCTGTGGTACAGTGGGATCTGCTTCGCTGCACGACAAGAAAGTTCAGCAGATTTCAACTTTATGTAAATGAGTGTGGCTGCATCATTGGATTTAGCCCGTCTGGTTTTTGTCATGAATGGCAAACGTAACTTTCTCAGAAATTAAAGAAACAATGTCTCTTTCTCTTCTTTGAATCCCTTTTTTACATAATCGTGTTTTTTACATAATCAGTTTTACATAATCATGAAAATATTAGCTTCAAAACAGAACTTTCAACAGGGAAGATTTGGACTGGATAACGTTTAAATGGTTTGAGTGGGAAGGCAAAGCTAAGATCATACAGAGCTCGTATGTCACTTACTAAGGCAGCCAGCTTGCTAGTGAGATTCCAGCTTGTGTGATGAGGCATTTGAAAATTAGAAAAGCATAAAAAGCACAGGCATGTATTTTCATGTCATTGTAAACCTCTGGGCAACAGCAAACAGTGTATCAGATTGTTCACTGCTCCAGATGTGTTCTAGATATTCCTTCATTTCCATAACAACATAGAAACGCGCACCAGTGACAAGCAGAGAGTTCTGACTTGGTGGAATGCAATAAGAAAAAGTGCAAATGGACACATAGTGTGACGGTACAGTACTGAAAAATAGTACAAATAAGCATTTAAAACACTGACATGCTGAAACAGTGTCCATCAAACCTGCTCCTGGAGATCTACCTACCTGCGGACTTCAGCCCCAGCCACACCTACCTGATCAGTCCAGTTACTGCCTTCAGTAGTTCTTGATCAGCTGAGCGAGGTGTGTTTGATTTGGGTTGGAGGTGTATCTTCAGGAGTTGGGCTGTGACCACTAATTTGAACAAATGTAAAAGTTTGTGGCCGATACGCCCCTCTACCTATTAATGAGCTAAACATGGCATCTGTGAGAGTAATTTGGATAGGATTTGGTGGGGCTTATGCTATGGATACACCCACACTCATCTGGGTAGTATACAATTACAGAAACAAAGAATTACAACCAGAGGAAGCAGAAAATATCACATTAAATTGATTCTTGACCTCAAAGTCACGTCAGCGTTCCTCCAGTCTTGCCAGCTAGGCTTCTGACTATCGGCAGAAACTTTGTTAGCTTATGAGGACCAGAACGGACTACTTTAACAGGAAGAGGCTGTTTGACTGACATTAAGTGACCAATCACCATCCATTGTTATTGTATGGCATACAGGGGCAGGGAATTTTCACACCACCCCCACAAGAAACAAAGTGGTATCCCTGCTGGCAATACAGTACAACATTACATTAATGCTTTTAAAAAAATATTTCAAAATCTTTTTTTAAATCAGTGATCATATTTCACTTTGAAAGGCTCGACTGTCATGGCTAAAGAAAAGGTGCTTCTGGTGCTAGCTGGCATTTAGCTCGATAAGCAAAACCTTTCCACACTGAATGGATAAAACCCACTGCACAGACACACAGGCTTGCAGAAAGCAGTTCAGAATGCAACTGACAAAATCCCACTTTTGGCCAGCTGTAACCCTCTGGGGTCCACAAATGTGCCCACGCATCAAATTCTCTGTTTCTGTATCTGTTCCTGTATCTTTGTGATGATCCAGCTCAGAAATCCAGTTCAAACACTTCCTGAATCTGTAGAGTCGCCCTTTCCATTCCATCTTATCACGAGATCATACGAGACTCACATCCGGAGTTATGAGCCTATGAAGAGGGGCTGAGATACACGTCATCTGCCTCTCACCGTGTGGAGCTGGTGGATTGGTGTGTCCGTCTACATTCTGTGTGAAACTGACCAATGGACACTCAGGAAATCACTAAGGACTGACCATCACGCCGGAAACCCTTCATTCTTCATTCAGTCCACATCGGAGACTCATGTGAAACGGCGTGCAGAGAGTTTACAGCTGCTGAAGCTGCTGCAGCGGTTTTGGAAAGTAGTGCTGAAGATAACGGAGCATTTAGATATGAAATTATATGAAGAGCCTTCAGAGGAGAGTTTAAGAAGATATGCACAAATCAAGAAAATGACCTCTGACCTCAGGTGATCGTGGATGTTAGAGTTGTCATTTTGTAAAGAGTTTGATAAGATAGGTATGCGAGGTAGCTAACACTAACCCACGGTCCAGCTCCTATTCAGTCAAGCAGTAATGGTTACGACCTTCTTTCCAAGTAATGTCTTCCCATGTTCCTCGATGCCTATTTTAAATAGTTTTGAGAAAGTACCTCTGTAGTCTTACTTCGGCTCTCTAATGAACAATCTCTTCCTCTCTTCAGGGCGGAGTGTAAGATGACTCAGCAGGTTCCAGAGTCGCGGGGGCCGATGGTGCGGAAGTGTTCCAGTGTGTCATGCTCATCACCCCCCAGCGCGGCCCGCAGGCTCTACAGGAACCTGTCAGGAAAATTCCGCACTAACCCTGGATCAGATGACACCGCGGCCGCTGGACGATCCGACAGGGAGCACATCCGCAAGGCCACCGCGGTGAGAAACATACACAACAACATACTACTGCTGTGCCCTGTGGTCAGATGAATAGGGTAGTGGACGTATAAGGATAGTTGAGTGTCATAAGGTACACAGAGAGTGGAAGAAGGTAGTTGTTTCTAATAAAGTGGCCAGTAGGTGGAAGTAGGTGTTTCTAATAAAGTGGACTTATATTGTAGATGTTTCTGATAAAATGTCCAATGAGCAAAGGTCAAGGTAAGCTATCAGTGGCTGACAGTGTTGGTCATAATGCTGTGTGTGTGTGTGTGTGTGTGTGTGTGTAGCTGCAGGGTAACGGTGTGTTGTTTGAGGCAGTGGAGCAGCAGGATCTGGAGCTGGTGCAGACTCTTCTGAAGGAGTTCAGCGCTGAGGAACTGGACCTAAACACTCCGAACAGCGAGGGGCTACTGCCACTGGACATCGCCATACTCACCAATAATGTCCCAATGGCCAAAATACTGCTGCAGTCAGGAGCTAAAGAGAGTCCACACTGTGAGTAACACACACACAATACTTCTGTTTTTTGCTGCACTGTACTGTATGTTTATCTGCATTTATTCTAAGAATATCTGGTGTTTTTATGAGCAATAACACATTTACTGCCCTGATAAGTTGTTTTAAATAATGTGTTTACGTGCTTTAGACCCCTTCCCAGTGCTGTTTATTTTAAGTGGACCTAATAAAATGGACAGTGAGTGGAGATACAGGGTAGACGTACCTAATAAAGTGAACAGTGAGCGAGCACAGTGGCACATATAGAATAATGTGTGTAACCTTATGTAGGTTTGAACAGGTCCTCAAACAGACAGTGTGTTTTCTTATATTTGTCCTGAATTTGAACCACAGAAACCCACACACACACACACACACACACACACACACACACACACACACACACACACACACACACTCCCTCCCTCTGCCGTCTCTGCAGCGCTGCCGTGGCTCATATCAAAGCCCTAATCAAACTCCATATGAGCAGCACTTACATCAAAGGAAAGAGTGTGAAACACACACACACACACACACACACACACACACACACACACACTTCAGTCGGTGCTTTCAGCAGTGTCGGCTACACCAGCGCCAGCGTTCCTGCTGTAACACACCACCATATTGAGAACATATTGTGCCTTTGGCAATTAATGTCACACACACAGCTCTGCTCGTCTCCGTCTCACACTCACACGTATACACACCACCGTCGGGGTTGTTCACACACTGTGATCCAGCGCTCTGTTCTGGCTGGCAGTCCTCCAGTCTGAGTAACACAGACGTGTTGATGGTGTTTATTTATTTGTTTACAGTGATAATGTTTATCAGCAGCTGAAACCTCACACTTCTGTTTTGTACAGTGATCCATAATAGCACTCCTGAAAGATTAGTCTGACATTATAATAACACATTTCTTATGTATATTACACCCAAGGGTGCTTTACGATAGTGGTAAAGTACACAAACAATCAACAAAACAACCCACAAAACACACAGAGCTCCCCGCTGGGAGGAGGAAACTCCCCCCCAGACCACAGCGCAGAGTCACTTAGCTGGCCCAAAAAAAGTCCTTAGCCATAGAGAAAGGTCCCTCTCATCCCAGGAGGCCGAATAGCTGTGGTGTGGCAAAGCTCGGAGGGCTGGTCCAGTGAGCCTCATACCAGCAGTGTAGCATCACTCAGACAGCCGGCCCAGTGAGCCTCGTACCAGCAGTGTAGCATCACTCAGACAGCCGGCCCAGTGAGCCTCGTACCAGCAGTGTAGCATCACTCAGACAGCCATCCAGTGAGCCTCGTACCAGCAGTGTAGTGTTGCTCAGACAGCCAGCCCAGTGAGACTCGTACCAGCAGTGTAGTGTCGCTAAGACAGCTGGCCCAATGAGACTCATACCAGCAGTGTAGCATCACACAGATAGCTGCCCAGTGAGAATCACACCAGCAGTGTAGTGTCATTCAGACAGCCATCCAGTGAGTCTCGTACCAGCAGTGTAGCATCACTCAGACAGGCAGCCCAGTGAGTCTTGTACCAGCAGTGTAGCATCACTCAGACAGCCGTCCCAGTAAGACTCGTACCAGCAGTGTAGCTTCGCTCAGACAGCCGCCCAGTAAGCCTTGTACCAGCAGTGTGGCATCACTCAGAAAGCCAGCCCAGTGAGCCTCGTACCAGCAGTGTAACGTCACTCAGATAGCCGGCCCAGTGAGACTCATACCAACAGTGTTTTGTCGCTCAGACAGCCCAGTGAGTCTTGTACCAGCAGTGTAGCATCACTCAGACAGCCGGCCCAGTGAGACTCACCCCAGCAGTGCAGTGTCGCTCAGACAGACGGCCCAGTGAGTCTCGTACCAGCAGTGTGGCATCACTCAGATAGCCGGCCCAGTGAGCCTCAAACCAACAGTGTTTTGTCGCTCAGACAGCCGCCCAGTGAGACTCACACCAGCAGTGTAGTGTGGCTCAGACAGACTGCCCAGTGAGTCTCTTACCAGTAGTGTAGTGTCGCTCAGACAGCTGCCCAGTGAGACTCGTACCAGTAGTGTAGTGTCGCTCAGACAGCTGCCCAGTGAGACTCACACCAGCAGTGTGGCATCATTCAGACAGCCATCCAGTGAGACTCGTACCAGTAGTGTAGCTTCGCTCAGACAGCCAGCCCAGTGACCCTCGTACCAGCGGTGTGGCATCACTCAGAAAGCCGGCCCAGTGAGCCTCATACCAGCAGTGTAGCATCACTCAGAAAGCCGGCCAAGTGAGACTCAAAGCTGTGGTGTAGCGTGACTCAGGCAGGTGGCCTGGGAAGTCTTCAAGCTACAGTATATCATTGCAACCAGCAACGATAGCAACCAGCCTAGTGAGCCTTGAAGCTGTGATGTAGAGTCGCTCAGACGGACTGCCTGGGAACCCTCATAGCTGCGTTATAGCTTCACTCAAGTAGCCGGCAAATCATCAGAACATACACATAAACAATAACAGACAGTACACAAACAAAACCGTAGTATAAAGAGACAGCAGAGGAAAATACATGATTCTGTACTTCTCCTCTGTTTTTAACATGCCCTCGCTGACTTGCCCTCCTTATCAGGGTATCCCCTACAAGATTGGTGGTTAGTGGTTCCATGACCCTCTAGCTGTAACTGTCACTGTCACTGTCTGATATTATGTGGCACAGATGCAGTGTGTTTTAACTGTATTGAGATGCAGTGTTTGTGTGTGTGTTTGTGCAGTTGTAAGTCCAGAGAGCCGTGCTGTGCACCTGGCCGCTCTGGTGCAGGAGGCGGAGCTTCGGGTGTCTGAACTTGTTGCCCAGGTAACAGGGGCAGGGCCAGCAGAGAGGGAGGAGTCAGACAGGGAGAGACAGCTGAAGGCCTGGGAGTGGAGGCTCCGCCTTTATAAACGCATGCAGACTGGATACACACACGCCAGTGAGTAACACACGCACACACACACACACACACACACACGCGCACACACACACACACACACACACACACACGCACACACGCACACACACACACACACACACACAACAAACTGAGAGATACACAAAAATTTGTGAAACACGCAAATGTGCATGCATACAGGCTCAGAGTTACTGATTGAGTATGTGTGTGTGTGTGTGTGTGTGTGTGTGTGTGTGTGTGTGTAGGCCCCCCAGACCCCCCCAGCAGAGTGTGTGTTTGTGTGACCAGCTCCTCCAATCTCAGAGTTCAGTTCCAGGAGCCGCTCTGCCTCAACTCCGCCGTCGTCACCAAATATCGCGGTCAGTAACATTTAACCCCTCACCTTTAACCCTACACAAACAAGAACCCCCCAGTGTGATATTACCCCACACACTTTCTGAGACTCAACTCCTGTCAGCTTTGGAACACTGCCAGATTTTCCATTATTGTTAAAAACAGAAAGTAGTGCTGATAAAGACAGAGATATTAGTGCTGATAAAGACAGAGATATTAGTGCTGATAAAGACAGAGATATTAGTGCTTATAAAGACAGATTTTAGTGCAGATAAAGACAGAGATATTAATGCTAATAAAAACAGATATTATTGCTGATAAAGATAGAGATATTAGTGCTAACAAAGACAGATACTAGTACTTCTAAAAACAGAGATACTAGTGCTAATGAAGATAGAGATATTAGTGCTTATAATAACGGAGATATTATTGCAGATAAAGATAGAGATATTGGTGCTGATATAGATATTATTAATGCTGATAAAGACAGGGATATTAATCCAGATAAATATAAAGATATAAGTGCTGATAAATGTAGATGTGCTGATGAAGACTGAATTATAGATATACTATTGATAGATAAAAAAGACTTTGTTCTGTATTTAGATCCTTTATACCATAAAGTTTTTATTGAAATATTTCCAGTGATTTCATTCTTTTTCGGTGTGTCTCTGTTTACGTGTGTGTGTGTGTGTGTGTGTGTGTGTGTGTGTGTGTGTGTGTTTCAGTGGTGTGGAGTAGTTCTCCATCCTTTTCTCCTCCACTGGGTGAGCTGGTTGTTGAGGACACAAGTCTACTGCAGTGTGACATCACAGGACTAACAGCAGTGAGTACACACACACACACACACACACACACACACACAAACACCCACACTTATACACACTCATATTCACTCACATACATACTCAAGTATACTCACACACTGTTACAGACAGGTACAAACACATTTACTATCACACACATTCATAAACACTACCACACATACAAGTTTGTGCATACAGTCAAACAAACCCACACACAGCAACACACACTATTACACAGAGCTACTCACTAGAACCTGCTACACACTCCTACAATCAGACACAGTTAACCACTACACACGAATACACATCACTGTACACTAATGCACAGCACTTAACACTGTTCTACACTCTAGATGGTGCTGTAAAATAGAAAAAAACTGGGTCATTCTACAGAAACGTCCACTGTTCTGTCTCTCCATAGGAGTCACTGGTGTTACTGATCCTCATTGGTGTTCCACATAATAAAGGAACACCAGAGACATTTTAATGAACAATGCATTTTACTAAACGGCTACAGAGCATCAAACCACATGTTGTCAATCATGGAAAATCCACTAAAATATGGAATTTAATCCATTTGGGTTCTGTTTTTTCACAGTTACCTCAGAATAAAGTCGGTCACACCAGTGACTTCAGCTAAAAGCTTCATATGAAATCATGAGCTAAATGAGAAAATCTCTGATAACTGAAAGACACAGTGGACTCACCATGAGCTTTTCTTCATAGATCAACAGAAAACAGGTAAAGGGAAGCCAAGTGATTTAAATCGTATATTCCATAGTCATGTATAGATTAGTGCAGTTAAAATTGCAGAAAAACATGTTTTTAACTTCAAAAATATGTCCTCAGCCTTCACACACGACTGTGAGGACGAGCTCTTCTGTGGTGCTTGAATTCTATATAATTGATTAAAAACCAATTTTGCTAAATTGAGGCTCAGGAAGGTGGAATTGTTAAAATAACTTATTGTTTTCTTTTAAAATATAAATAAATTGTAACCCTAACATGTTTTTAAGTGTAATATATCTGTAAACGCTAGGGACACAAAAATGGACGTTTCTGTAGAATGACCCAACTACACACTATAACACACCATTTACCACTATGACACCATTACTTCACAACTAAACACTAAATAGACAGTAAATGCCAGGGCATATTATTACACACAGCTACACACCACTATACACTATGCATTCATCCCATCGAGCACTATTACACATCACAATATTCTGTTACAACCAGCTACACACTATTACATAGAACTACTCACAGTTACGCACCAATTCATAGTATTTGATTACATCATTAAGAAGACCTCGTCTCCATGTTGGTGGGTGGGCTGTAACTGGGCTCTGATGGAGCTCAGCTCATCACCATTACTGCAGATACAGCCCTGCAGGAGGATAAACACCAACAACACAGACCAGAATGACCACAAACACATGAACAGATATGAGGACACTTTAAATACGTCTCCAGAAACACTACAAGGAGAAGATCAGCTGATTGGTGGATCTGAATAACCTGCACATCTGCAGAGTTCAGAACATTCCAGTGTGAGATTTTATAAAAACTAATAAAAGTGGCTACAAAACTGACAAAAAAAAAAAGAAAAAATAAGAAGATGAAGCTTCTTATTCACCAGAGTCTCATCTGGATTTTCCGTTCCACCTTAAATGGAGCTGCAGTTACACTGAGGTGCCCTAAACGTAGAATGAATTACAAAAGTTGGCGAATATGAATCAACGTCAGTTACCTCAATAAATGCATTAATTTACTCAATAAATGCTTCTTAATCAACAAACCCCTCAGACTTTTTCTTGGAGGTGATTAATGAGCAGCTAACGAGCAGCACAGCAGAGCAGCTGTTGATCGCGTCTCACTGGCTGATCTAACGCCGTGTCCCAAACCACACACTTCTGTACTTCACTCACTGCACTAATGAGTGCACTTCTAATGGGATATGCACTATTTTCTGCATATTATTTAGTGATCCAGTGGTTTGGGACGTGAAAATAATAGCACAGTGGGAATCTCAGCCGTTTAGATTTAGTCATCTAATTACTGTCAATAAACACTATTACACAACTACACACTAATACACATCACTGTACACTGCTACATAAAGCTGTGCACTATTACACACCATTCAACACTAATACACACCACAACACACTATTTCACATAAACACACACTGTTTCATACAACTATGCATGAATATGGACTACTAAAGTTTAATACACCTCACTACACTTTATTACATAACACCGTACACCATTACACACCACGCTGCACATGGATGAACACACTTCTTCACACCACTGCATACCAGACACAACTACACACCATTTAACAACATACTAATGCACACCACTATATATACATCACACAACGCTATTCATTATTACAAACCAATACACACTAATGTACTCCACTACACACAATTACATACAACTACACACTATTGCACACCAAAGAACATTAACACACACTACTGCAATTACACATTATTAATAGAGGCTGCGGCACTTCAGATTTTTTAAGGTCAATAGTTACGTGATGAAGGTCAAGTTGACGTCAGCTAATTGCTGATGATGTCATGAAAACCACAGGATAAGGTAATGCTTCTCCACAGGTCAGTAGAGCCTGACACACCCTTTCCAATGAGCCCTAGACCGCGTTGTTGGCCTTAAGGGAATCGGAGATACAGAATCTCTCAAATTTGTGTCTGACGTTGGCGCACCCTGGGCGGCCCTGCCAAGACACTCGCCCACAACCAGGACAGAAGAGCCAAAGAAATTTGGAGTGCTGTATTTTGGTGAAAATAAGAGTAACAGGTCAGCAGAGTGTGCCGCGCCATTTCCAGTGAGTCCTGGATCTCATTGAGATACGGACCCCGGAATCACCAGCCTCCTCACCTGCTGTCTTCTCTGAGGCGCCTGTGTTGTTAGTGTCATAATCACGTGATCAGCAACTCGTCAGCATCTAGATTAAAGCATCATCGCTGAGCAGTAAAGTCGACTAATCTGTGGAACAACTCCTTATTCCACACCAGTGAGCAGCACTCCGAACTCTGCACATTAACTGTGTCTGTGTGTTTTAGGGTGTCCCCTACTACGTCCAGGTGTTTGCTTACAACATGAAGGGATGGAGCGCACCTCAGGCTTCTGTACCGGCCTGCGCTACTCCATCCAGTGAGTACGCACTCACACACACACACTCACACACACACACACACACACACAACCACACAATATACACACATACACACTCATGCACACACACACACACACACACAACCACACAATATACACACATACACACTCATGCACACACACACACATACGATACACATATACACACAAATGCACACATTCTCACGCACCACACACGTTATCAGCTCTTTCAAGGTTGTGTTCCTCTTCATACTCGTATGCTGTACATGTGTAGTGTGTGTGTGTGTATGTGTGTGTGTGTGTGTGTGTGTGTGTGTGTGTGTGTTGAGAGTGTGTGTTCGTTTTTGTTTTCGTTCTTGGCCTTTGGGGTGTAATATTTGTATCCTTGTTTTTATGTTTGTGAAGACAGGCGATCTTTCTCTCTCTGGCGTTTTAGGTGTGTGTGTGTGTGTGTGTGTTGTGTGTGTGTGTGTGTGTGTGTGTGTGTGTGCTAATTTAGATGTGTGTGTTTGTGTTTTCCATTTCAACTCCCACTGGAAATATTTGCATGTCTATGAGAGGGCCGTAAAGTAGCAGACAGAACGGCTCTTATACACCAGCTCTCACACACACACACACACACACACACACACACACACACACACACACACTTCTCTCAGTCTTTCTCAAACTCGTGCGGACATACACTTCTGGTTCTCACACACAGGCGCATGCTTCTCGAATACACAACATTTTTCTTATGAGCTCCACGCATACACACACATGCGCACACACACTCACACACGCGCCGCACGCTCTGGCGGGTTGTTTGGCGTGAAGAGAGCGTCTGTATTGGGCATTCCGGGAATAGAGCGTGTGTCCCCTCCCCCCGCGGAGCCACCGGTACATCAGCCTGTTTACTGTGGGTCTGTATGCGAGTGTGTTAGTGTGTGTGTGTGTGAGTGTTTGTAGTGTGTGTGTGTGTGTGTGTGTTAGTGTGTGTGTGTGTGTGTGTGTGTGTGTACGTGTGTGTGTGTGTGTGTGTGTGTGCGTGTGTGAGTGTGTGTGTGTGTGTGTGTGTGTGTTAGTGTGTGTGTGTGTGAGTGTTTGTAGTGTGTGCGTGTGTGTGTGTGCGTGTGTGTGTGTGAGTGTTTGTAGTGTGTGCGTGTGTGTGTGTGTGTGAGTGTGTGTGTGTGTGTGTGTTAGTGTGTGAGTGTGTGTGTGTGTGTGAGTGTGTGTGTGTGTGTGTGTTAGTGTGTGTGTGTGTGTGTGTACGTGTGTGTGTGTGTGTGTGTGTGTGCGTGTGTGTGTGTGTGAGTGTTTGTAGTGTGTGCGTGTGTGTGTGTGTGTGAGTGTGTGTGTTAGTGTGTGTGTGTGTGAGTGTTTGTAGTGTGTGCGTGTGTGTGTGTGTGTGAGTGTGTGTGTTAGTGTGTGTGTGTGTGAGTGTTTGTAGTGTGTGCGTGTGTGTGTGTGTGTGAGTGTGTGTGTTAGTGTGTGTGTGTGTGAGTGTTTGTAGTGTGTGCGTGTGTGTGTGTGTGTGTGTGTGTGTGTTAGTGTGTGTGTGTGTGAGTGTTTGTAGTGTGTGCGTGTGTGTGTGTGCATGTGTGTGTGTGTTAGTGTGTGTGTGTGTGAGTGTTTGTAGTGTGTGCGTGTGTGTGTGTGTGAGTGTTTGTAGTGTGTGCGTGTGTGTGTGTGCGTGTGTGTGTGTGTGAGTGTTTGTAGTGTGTGCGTGTGTGCGTGTGTGTGTGTGCGTGTGTGTGTGTGTGAGTGTTTGTAGTGTGTGCGTGTGTGTGTGTGTGTGAGTGTGTGTGTGCGTGTGTGCGTGTGTGTGCGTGTGTGAGTGTGTGTGTGCGTGTGTGCGTGTGTGTGTGTGTGATACTCAGTGGATACTGAACGACTCACTGTGAGCTCACACTCCCTCTCTCTGAGAAATGGGTTGGTACTTTCAGGTGTGTGCATGTGCCCCGGTATTATAAGAATGATATGATGTTCTAGATAGGCAGAACCGTAGGTTTATATGAAGGGTTCTGTTCCAAAACATATGATACATTATAGACCACTTTCATGAGCGCTTTTTCTCCATAATCAAATGTGGGCTTTAGATCAGTGCTATATCATGATTAATGACAGCTTTATTGGAGAAATAACTGTGTGATCTACGTTTTACAGCTCTTAGCTTAAAAAAACTCGCTTTTGTAAAACTTGCTGATTGTAACATATTGAAAAAAAAATAAACATAACATTTGCCATAACTTTTGCTCAGGCTACATTTTATGTTTTTTTTCACTGTTAAACTCCACAAATACATTGAATAACTGAAAACTGCTTTCTTTAGGGTCACATTTTTAAATAAGACAAATGTGATTACATATTTCAATATTTCAATAAACTGACAGTCCTTTCATGTATGTAGATTACATGGATGCGGGTACGTTATCCCAGTCTAAGCAAAACCTCCAAAAAGGTAACTTTACAGGAGGAACAGAACATTTTTAACTTGTAATGGAGGTTAATGTAATGGAGGTTAATGTAATGGAGGTTAATGTAATGGAGGTTAATGTAATGTTAACATTTTTTCCAAGTGAGTCTGAAGCAGTTCTGATGGTTGGATCATTGTGAAAGTCAGATAGTCGAGCTGAGTCCTGTTAAAACAGTGCGCAGTGTTGCGGTCTGTCAGTTTCAGACGGTGAGAAACTGACAGCATTAATATGTGTGTGTTTGATGTGTGTTTCTTTTGTCTGTAAGATCAGACTCTGCCTCAAAAGGCCTTAAACCTCCTTATATTTATGACAGAGATTTTACTTCAAGTTTTACTTTAAATTTGAATCATTTCTGCATTTCTAGGTAATTTACAGACTTACAGAGTTCTACTAATTTACAGAAACTCTGACATACACGCATCCATGTACTACGCTCTCTCTCTGTGGTGCGCACTTGTGAACCGAGTTAAAAGCCGTGCTGAGTTCCTCTCCTTGTTGTGATGTCAGCACTTAAACCTTTGAAGTGTTTAAAGCACCTTTGGACCAAAAGAGCTTCACTATGAGCTTTTAACAACAATTTAAAAAGAAAAAATCAAATCAACAATTTAAAAACTGTCAAATCATTATTTCGAACCTGCTCTTTATACCATTGAGCTGTGGTAAGGCGAGGCCTACCCCAATAATCAGAAAGACTGATTATGATAAACTAAACTAATCCTTTTTATTACAGTGCAGTTTTGCATTGAAAAGTAACAGTGAGAAAAACACAACTGTGAAGAAGGCGAGCTGCTCAGACTTTACAGGAACAGTGTGTATACCTGTATATTCTCTCGCTCTGTAGGTTGGAGGGATGTGGACGGTCGAACACCGAGGCTGCGCGGCCTGCGGGAGGCGCTGGACCAGATCCTGGAGCAGATTAAGGAGGCGCACCAGCAGTGCGCGTGTCACGGTAAAATAAATCCTTCCAAATACACAGACGCCTGAGCGTGTCACTGTAAACGTATGAGAGAGTGAAAAACAGTGACCGTAAACCTGTTAACTCTAAAGTGGATCCAGATCTAATGTTTCTCACCCTTATAACCACGGAACTTACGTATTAGTTCCATAGTAGTTCCTCAATTATTCATAGTAGATACTGAATAATTCATAGTAGACACTGAATAATTCATAGTAGATACTGAATAATTCATAGTAGATACTGAATAATTCATAGTAGATGCTGAATAATTAATAGTAGATACTGAATAATTCATAGTAGATGCTGAATAATTAATAGTAGATACTGAATAATCCATAGTAGATACTGAATAATTCATAGTAGACACTGAATAATTCATAGTAGATGCTGAATAATTAATAGTAGATACTGAATAATCCATAGTAGATACTGAATAATTCATAGTAGACACTGAATAATTCATAGTAGATGCTGAATAATTCATAGTAGACTCTCAATAAGATGCACTGGAACTGTTGGTTTTTCAGCCTTACCAGTCACTGTAGGGACGAGGAATGTAAGTGTAGCAAATCAGTCATATTCACAGTTCCTGATCAGACTCTCAGAGCGATACATGCCCAGCACTGCCCAGAGTTTTCATCTTGGGGAGTCAGTGCTTGTGAGGGCCAATGAAATAAACCCATAATAGAAATAAAGGCTTTAGGCAGGTTTTAAATACAGTTTTTAAACATGTATTTTATAATACTATATTTTGTTACTAAAATACTTCAGACTTACAATTTAAAAAGCAAAATAAACAGTTGATGATTCATATATGGTATAAAAAATGTTTGTTCTGTCGCTGGGTGAGGAGGTGGGGTAGGGGAACTTTCTGGTGGGCCAAATGAGGCGTCCTCATGGGACGACTTCTTCCCGCGGGCCGCACTGTGGACAGGCTGCTGTAGAGCGTAGAGGTTCCTCGAAGTCAGCTGTGTGAATCTTGTTTGTTGTTTTAGAGTCTCTCTCTCGCGCTCACAGTCTGCCTGTCTGCCTCTAACACTGCTATTGAAACACTCTGTGTGTGTGTGTGTGTGTGTGTGTGTGTGTGTGCGTGTGTGTGTGTGTGTGTGTGTGTGTACGGAGTCTAACGGGTATGACCCAGACCACATATATCATCACAGTCCCATTTAACACGCAGTGTGTACAGTATTGTTTATACAGTAAAACTAATCTCTCCACCCCTCATCCTGCTATTAACACCTTTAGAAGTTTAGAGCTATTACTGTTGTTCTGCTGTACCATTTACATCTGATTCAGTTTTTATACTTTATTGATCCACTAGGAAGGAATTTGGTCATTTTGGTGCCTAATTAAGTTTAGTTGTAGCACAGTGTCGCCCTCTGGGGGTGTGGGGTTTACGTGCTTTATAAAAACTGCTCAGTCAGTGCTGAGATGTGAACCCACAACCTCCTGGCTGCCGTCTCTACTCTCTCACCACTTTCTGATTGTTTCGACATCAAAAATGGACAGAAATAGCAAAGATACCACTTTACTGTAGGTTGCTGTTAATAAGGTTGTCATGACAGCTGACATAACCCTACATAACTGTTTAGAAATGCTTATTCCAACAGGCGTCATTTGTCGTAAAGGCTACTTTAGCTAACTTTGATCAAAACTGGCTACTTTAACCTTTATAGCAAATGACACATATTGTAATAAGCACTTATAAACAGTTATGTAGGGTTATTTCAGTTATCATAACAAGCTTATGTAGGTGTTATGCAGCCTTATGAACAGGACTCTACAGTAAAGTGTTGCTGAATGTTTTTCTTTTGACAAAACAAGACTTTTTGAAATTAATTCATAAATATGATTTGATTATTGTTGGAGATAACTTGGATTTCTAATGGTTATTAAAAAGTAATTCACGTGTGTGTGTGTGTGTGTGTGTGTGTGTGTGTGTGTAGATCAGTGTAAAGGTCCTCCGAATGTGCGGAAACACTCTGTCTCTAAAAGCCTGAGACATCTCTTCCAGCCCACCAGCAAATTCGTCAAAAATCTAAAAAGGTAAGAAAACAAGAGAGACGTTAATCACAGTCGACTGTCGTTACAGTATTTAAAGCGATAGTTCAGTAAAAAATCTAATTACCCCAGTTTTACACCCTCATTCCAAATGTAGCCCATCAGCCAAGACATGTTTGGGGTCTGAAGTCTGTCTCTTTAGTTTAGCACTGGAGCTACGAGTAGCTTATGTAGCTAACAGGTAATGGAACTTTATACCCCTCCAATTAGCATGGTGCTAACCGCATGGCTAAATCACTACATTCTAGCGTCAAACATGTTAGCAAAGTTGGCTTCCTGTTCGTCAGCTTCTTATTCGAGTTTGCTGAAAATTAAACTTCAACTTTGTGCCTGAAACCGTGTTGAGCTGTAAAGTAATCTGAAATAGACTTGGTTATGGCTTCTGACACTGTGTGACGTTATCCACCAAACTATCACTTTAATGTTCAGTTTGATGTCAGCATTCCCTCTGTGTGTGTGTGTGTGTGTGTGTGTGTGTGTGTGTGTGTGTGTAGAGGTGTGTATGTGGCCTGTGTGTTCTACAGGGATGATAATGTTTTGGTCACTGCGGAGGAGCAGCTACCCGTAGTGGAAGTGGACGATTCTTACAGCTCTCTCACGCAGGACTTCCTGTGGTTCACTAAGGTAACAGCAGAGTAACCGTATTTAGCTTTTTTAAGACTACAGTTTCAGCCCCGTCCTACAATTATATCTGATTTCCATTCATTGGTTGTTTTTGCACTAAAATAGTCATAATATATTTTACATGATCATTTTCCAGCCTCTCTTTATCTGGGGTGACTGGGCACTAAACACAGTGTTAAACGCTCCGTCCTACATTTTTCTTGCATTATATTTTCCCCCCTGAGGTCCACTTATGATGTTTGTGGGTTTTTGAACCAAAAACAGTCATGATTCATTTCTGCATCACCATTTTCCAACCTCTCTTTACCCCTTAGACCTAAACTCCTCATAGCTGCAGAGTGAATGGGCGGGGCTAAACTGCTGTAGGCTGAATAGATGTGATATATTGTTGGTTGTTGTGGCAGTTTTTAAAGTAAGCTCTACTGTGCAGTGAAAATAAAAATCTGTAACAGATATTTAATCATATTGTTTAGTCATTGTTTACTGAGAAACGTTCTGAGGCCGTAAGTGGATGAATCAGATCTGTGGAGATGATCAGTGTTCTTGTCATTGCGTTGCAGAATTTGATTGTTCCACTCATCAATAACTCTGTGTTTTTCTGCCAGGCTTTCAGTATTAGAGCAGAAAACCCACCACGAAACATGGGTTTTGTTATAGTTTATGATTGTATTCCTGGTTCTGCTTTGTGATTTAGATGATTTCTCTAAAAGACAGTCTTCAGTCTTTTTGTTTAAATGTATCTGGACTGGAGCCGTGTGTGTGTTGTTGTTTTGTCCTAGTGGGGGGATTCGGGCAGTTTGGCAGGGCTCGGTTTATGAGTTATGGGGCTGTTCTTTCCAAACTGTGAGCTTGACTGAATGAGGGATGAATGTTTGAGTCTCAGGAGAGAAGATGAGGCAGAAACAACAATCAGCAACAACGACAACAACAACAACATGTCCCCTCCTCTCTCACTAATCTAGACCCTCTGCAGTCAACCTCACAACGCTATAGCCATTCTTCTGTATATTACACGTACACTACTTAATTATTAAAACGGAATTACATATTTACTTACAGAATTCCGTAACTAATTAAGTTATTGTTAGATTATTATTCTGTATGAACAGATTTGAGTCTGCACTCCTGGATTTTTCAAAAATGACAAAAACAGCAAAAATGTACAGGATGTTTTTTCTTTTTGTCAAACAAGACTGAACACAACGGTAACTTGTCATCAATAAAATTCATGATAAAATATCTTCTCTTCTATTTACAAATATATACTGTGGTGTGGACTGAAGGTTTACAATCGGCACTGATTTTCTGCTTTTGGGACCAGTTACTCTCATGAATTTTGTACAATATTTGATCAAACAATTTTTTTTCCCCTTTGGAAATAAATGGTGGAATGTTGAGGAAGTTCAAGTTCGATTGCTGCAAATCACGTCACAAAGAGCATCTCTCACACGGACCCTCATAGACATTACATACAGAAACACAATCACAAAAAATGTTGTGATGAATGGACCAATAGAAATGCTCCAAAATCACTTGGAGTAAAACTTCTTTACAGTAACTTACATTAAAAGTGAAGAAAGTCTCTGCTCTCCTGTATAATTACTCTATCAGAGATGCACGTTTTCCTCTGGATGCTGATGATGTGATGAAAGTGAATATGATGAAAAGTTTAAAGTCTGGGTGTGAAGGTTAGTCAGTGATGTATCTGCACTGTGGATGTTATGGATGATGTTGTGGGTTGTGTTGTAGGTGTCGTATCTGTGGGAGGAGATCTCCTGGCTGCAGCAGTGTGTGGGTCCTGCTCAGCTTTCCTGCTCCTGCACTCTACAGACACGCCTCAAAATGCTGCAGGCCCTCGCTCACCTACAGGTTACACTCGTCTTCTTCTTTTTCTTCTTCTTCTTTTTCAGTTCCAGTCTGGTTTTCAGTGATTTTTTCAGTAAGGAGTTCTGGCATAGAGCTGCTGCTGCTGTTTTCCATTCCTAACAAGTAACTGAAACACTGCAAAGACTTTGGATCGTATTCACACTCAGTGACATATCTAGAACTAAAGTGAAGCCTTTTCTCATGAAACTGGACCCACGCATTGGAAATCAAAACATGATAGTTATGTGGCGGTTAGGGTAACATGTAAGGCCTTCAGTCCAGCTCCTGAAGTCCTAACCAATGGGAGAGCTCGCTTAAACTTATCTGCCTAAGTACCTAGATGCTGCTAATGAAGGATGCTTGGAGGAGAATGCTGTCTATTCTGTTATGTCGGCTAACAGATGTTGGCTAGCATCATGTTGAGTGATGAGGGAGTGGGAGGAGTGAGACGACTATTCCAACCACCCAGAGAGACAGTTGATGGCCTAGCAACACCTTAGCAACCACCAAGGATACCATAGCAACAGCCTAGCAACACCTTATCAACCACCAAGGATACTGTAGCAACAGTCTAGCAACACCTTATCAACCAACAAGGATACTGTAGCAACAGCCTAGCAACATCTTATTAACTACCAAGGATACCATAGCAAAAGCCTAGCAACACCTTATCAACCACCAAGTATACCATAGCAACAGCCTAGCAACAACTTAGCAACCAAAAAGGATACCATAGCTATAGGATACCGTAGAATGCTAACTATTCTGTTATGTCGTCTAACAGAAGCTGGCTAGCATCATGCTGAGTGATGGGAGAGTGGGGGGAGTGGGAGGAGTAGGAGGACCATCCCGACCACTCAGAGAGACAGTCTTAGATTCCCATCCACAGATGAAATGTTGTGTTTTCGGGAGAGTCCTGTAAAGCATCCTTGATGATCTTGTCTGCATCAGAACTGTCCACCCTTGCAAGGTTCACTTCAGCCAGAGGTCATCAGCCGTTCATTAACTCCTGGACCGTGTCTGTGTTGCAGGCTATGTTGGGCACTCAGGACTTGGGGCAGGTGTATTTTGAGCCTGTGAGGGATAAGCATGGTAACGCCCTGCTGGTGCTGCTGAGGGAGGTGGAAGGATGTGCTCTGGAAGGCCTGCGCTGGACTCCACTCAGCAAACTGCAGATCCAGCGCAAATCCATCTCCTCTCCTGATGAACCTACTGCCCTCGACACCCTCCTCATCACCCTGCATGTGAGTGCACACACAGACTTACAGAATATCTGGTTAGCTGTCACTGGTCAAATCAGCAACGAGATTTAATGCAGCCCTGCCCAGCACAAGACCACTATTCATGGTTTGTGGACTCGCTGTTTGGAGAAACATCAAGTCTGGAGTTGTTACTGTCGTTCTACTATTTTAATATACCGTCTCGTGTTGTAGGAGAAGCTGGCGTACCACAGGCGCAGCAGGAAGCTGCTGGCCCCCGGGCTGTATCTGGGCTATGTGAAGCTGTGCAGCTCAGTGGAACAGATCAGAGTGCTGGTGCCCCACAAAATCCCCAACGTCTTCTGCCACGTCAAAATACGCGACAACGGCCATGTCTCCAGGTACAGTGGCACACATATCTGAAGTTATTGCTGTAATTGATTAACCTGTTAGCTATCCTAAACGTTAACTATCCTGTGATAGTCTCCTAATTTCAAATTGGTCATCAAAGTATTATTATACAATATCTACAATAACTGAAAGTGATTTTTATTTTGATTATTAAGTACATTCATTACCAAGTACTTGTGTACTGTCTGTCCAGTCGAAATATACATAAAATAGCTGTACTTATACACAAACTACAGAAGTATTGTTCTCTGTCCACCTATGTGTGTGGTGCAGTCAAAACAATAGACGCCATATCGCCCCCTACACTTCCTGTAGTGTATTACAGTCTGTCAGAGTGACTGTGTGGATCATATGAACATTATAGAGGCTTTTTAAATGAAACAGCAGAAGCCATATCGCCCCCTACACTTCCTGTAGTGTATTACAGTCTGTCAGAGTGACTGTGTGGATCATATGAACATTATAGAGCCTTTTTAAATGAAACAGCAGAAGCCATATCGCCCCCTACACTTCCTGTAGTGTATTACAGTCTGTCAGAATGACTGCGTGGATCATATGAACATTACAGAGCTTTTTAAATGAAACAGTAGAAGCCATATCGCCCCCTACACTTCCTGTAGTGTATTACAGTCTGTCAGAGTGACTGTGTGGATCATATGAACATTATAGAGCTTTTTAAATGAAACAGTAGAAGCCATATCGCCCCCTACACTTCCTGTAGGGTATTACAGTCTATCAGAGTGACTGTGTGGATCTTATGAACATTATAGAGCTTTTTAAATGAAACAGTAGAAGCCATATCGCCCCCTACACTTCCTGTAGTGTACTACAGTCTATCAGAGTGACTGTGTGGATCATATGAACATTATAAAGTGCTTTTGTTTTTATCTAAATTGTGCTAAAATGTGTTTGTATGTGTCAGGGAGGAGTGGCAGTGGCTGCAGTCTGTGCGTTCACTGGAAGACACAGTAGAAGTGTGTGCTGATGAGCAAAGCGCTCCACATCGCTTCCTGCTGGAGTTACGTAACGCCGCCAAAGAACTGCTCGGACGCATTAATATTCCCAACAATCAGGTACACACGCGCATGTGTACACACAAACATTAAACTGCAACTGTAAACGTACTTTTACAGACTATAACTCTAACTGGTTTGTGACTTATACATCTATATTAGCATGTCAGTCATTTATTCACACATGCACTATATGGCCAAAAGTATGTGGACACCCCTCATAATTGTTGAGTTCAGATGTTTCAGCCACACCCATCAATAACAGGTGTTTAAAATCAAGCACGTAGTCATGCAGTCTCCACGGACAAACACTGGCAGTAGAATGAGTCGCACCAATGAGTGACTCAGTGACTTTAAACATGGCTCTGTTATAGAATGCCTCCTCTGCCACAAGTCAGTCTGTGAAATTTCTGCCCTGCTAGATCTGTAAGTGCTATTATTATGAAATGGAACTATCTAGTAGCAATTACAGCTCAGCTACAAGGTGGTAGACTACGCAAACTCACCTAATGGGCTCTGTTCTAGCACTCATTGCAGAGTTCCTAACTTGCCTCTGGAAGCAACAACAGCACAAGAAGCTTCATGAAATGGGTCTCCATAGCTGAACAGCTGCACACAAGCCTAAGATCACTATGCCCAACGCCAAGTGTTGGCTGGAGTGGTGTAAAGCTGGACTCTGGATCAGTGGAACCGTGTTCTCTGGAGTGATGAATCTCCTCTATCTGTCAGTCTGATGATGAATCTGGGTTTGGTGGATGTCAGGAGAACATTACCTACCGGAATGCAGAGCCAACAGTACAGTTTGGTGGAGGAGGGATGATGGGCTGGGCTGTTTCTCAGGGTTTGGGCTCTCAGTTCCAGTGAAGGGTGATGTTGATGTTGCAGCACAAAGTCATTTTACACAGTTATCTGCTTCCAGCTTTGTGTCAGCAGTTTGGGGAAGAGCCTTTCCTGTTCCAGCATGACTGAGCCCCTGAGCACAAAGCAGCTCCATAAAGACATGGAGTGACCAGTCTGGTGTGGAGGAACTCCACTGGCCCTCACAGAGCCCTGACCTCAACCCCACTGAACACCTTTGGGATGAACTGAAACGGAGATTGTGAGCCAGGCCCTCTCGTCCAACATCAGTGTCTGACCTCACAAATGTTCTTTTGACTGAATGGACACAGATTCACACAGACTCTTTAACATCTTGTAGAATGATTCCCAGAAGAGTGGAGGCTGTTATTGATGCTCATGGTTTTGGACTGAGATTTCCAATAATCGCATATAGGTGCGATGGTGTCCTCATACTTTTGGCCATATACTGTAGGTATGCATAAAGTTCCTGTTTTGGGTATTTACAGCCTTCCCAAACATTAGCTTGTTGTATTATCAAGGGATCAGTTAGGTGTATTCAGTTCCCAATATTATTCCTATATTCAGTTGTGCTGGAAATTTAAACGCACTATAAGAACTATTAATGCCAACACAGTTAGACCTCACATCACTGATTGCCTAGGATGTATATTTTTTAAGCTAACCAAGACTAGTACATCTCTCAAGCAATAATCAGCCATCTTGTTTTATGCAATACACTTGTTGCCATATCAAGTGACACCAGATTTTTCCCCAAAGTTAGCCCCTTTGACTTTTAGTGAAGTAGTTTCACACCTCTCTCATTGTTTTTCTTTGGTAGTAGAATGAGCACTTGAACTGTTTTGCTGTCTACTTTATAATTGTAATAGTGCATGTATCAAAACAAGAATGCATTTTTATGTTGTAATAAATAAAAATCGAAAATACAATCGAAGTGATCCTAGAAGAGAGCCTTGTGGGACACCATTCTGCACTTTTGTTTGTGCAAAAAGCTTTCCATCTATGTAAACTGCTATTTGTTAGGATCTAATCTAGGCAAATCTCATGTCTCTCATCCCATCAAGAGTTTCTACTCTGTCTGGTAGAATATTGTGATTTATGTCAAATGCTGGTCGGAGGACAATAACAGATTGTTCTCTGTCTTTGTGCTATGATTAGACCTAAATCCTGACTGAAATATTTCATGTATGTGATTCATGTGCTAGTATGAGCACAGCTGCTGAGCTACAGCTTTCTGTAAGACCTTAGAGATAAAGGGAAGGTTTGAGACTGGTCTATAATTGGACTACTCATAGGGATCAAGGTTAGGTTTCATGATCAAAGGTGGATAACTGCTAATTTGAGAGGTACTATTTTAAGTATTTAGATGTATAGCCAAGGCTGAGAGGAGAGTTTGCTATTGTTAACTTTTGTTTCTGGTAGCATTTCTCTGGGAAAGTTGAGTAAAAAGTTTCCACATTGATAGACTTGTAAAAAGAAACCCAGTGTAAAGCCCCAGCAGCCTGTAGATATAATGAGTAAGTACAGCTGAGAAGATTTCTTATTTGTGGCTAGATCACATAATGAAAAAGAGTTAGAGATAAATTTGTATACTGGTTTCTGGGTAAAGCAAAGAATATCACTATTAATGTTTGCTGTGCCTCCTCCTTGACCATAAGGGCTACGTTACTAAGACCTAGGTTGAACCTAGGAGACAGGTTTAGCTATCATGTCTGCCCTTCCTGACCTTGGCTCTGGATCTATGGCGTGCACAGACTTTGGCGAGGGCAGAGCGGGAGGTGTTTCAAAAGGGCAAACTGCATTGCTTCTATAATCTGGACATTTTGTTATGACATAGATTTATTGCCAAATAAGGGGAATGTACTTCACAGTCTTGCACGTTGTGAAATATAAGCTAATATTACAGTGTGTTTTGAAGTTGCCGCTGATGCTGCCATATGACATAAACTAAAACCAGCAGGCGAGAAACGTACAGACTGAGAAACAGCAGCCGACGCCAGCAGAAGCCAGGTTTTACACAGGGGCAGTTAGAGCTCATCCTAAAGGGCACTATTCATTTTAAGACATAAGGGGCAGGGGCTTGAAACCCAACCTTGTACATGTCAGTGCTCTGGACTGTCAGTTACCCTCTACAAAAAGACTACATGCCTGATTACAAAAAAGAAAGTGGTACCTGCCCACAAGGCATAGATGCCATCTTGCCTATGAAGGCCAGGTTTACCATGAAAAGTGACCCTAATTATCAACAAAGTCCACCTTGTCTCTCTTTTTCTCTCTATCTTTTACTCAGGCACAGGACTTCCGTGTGTATGTTCAAGAGGTGATTGAACTTGGGGAGAGTGTGTCCTTCCTGTTGCTCCTCCCCCCATGTGAGGAGGTGTGTACACCGCCCGGACAAAACAACCCCTACTCCCCCCGATCCGGATTCTTCACCCTACCGCTGCAGATCTTTGAGCTGGGTGAGAACACAAACCCACACACAAACTTCCACATACTCAGTTCAATTTAACGTAATCCACAGAAAAAGCTATCAGGAGAAGATCCATGTATAATCCTTTAGAAATTCAGTCAGGCATCAGGCCTGAAGCCACCTACCCAACGCTAAATTTCACCCCAGTATAAGGCACAATTAATAATGCAGGAAAGCACATTTATTCAAGACGTCATTGATGTTACAAACTACTTGCACCAGGAACTACAATGATGTGTTGATGCGTCTATTTCGATTTATAGAAGTAATACTTTGCTAAGGTTATGGTGATGTTAGCTACCTAGTGGGGTTATCAGCAGGTATTTGAGTACTGTTCCGTTGCCTGACCCATCATAAATGATCAGTTTTACACTTGGACCACAACACTGCAAAGTTCAAAGTTCAAGTTAATTTAACACACCTACGTCCACTAATCGGCTACCAAGCCCTTTTAGAATACAGAAAAAGCAAATATCCGTGGAAACTCTTCATTGAGTTAAAAAGCTTTTATTGTGACAAAGCTATGGACACAAAATCTGCCAGGTTGCAATAAAGGCTATCTAAAGTAATGAAGAGTGCGCTGGATATTCACCCCTTTTCTCAAACCTTTGCACCGCAGTCCATACAGCACTGTTTACATCCCTATCAGTAGCCCTGGTACCTTACTGAACTCACGCATGGGAAAATATCACAAACACACTCATAACTGCACTTACATTTCTGTGTGGTTCAGTGTTCTCTCTGTTTCACCTCTCCACACCTCCTTCTCTCTCTCTGTAGTTCATTTTGAGGCATACTGCCCCAGTTTTATCAGCCAGTACTGCCGTGCGTCCGCCGTTTTGGGGCTGGAGTCTCTGATGTCCCAGCAGGCTTTGCGAGAGGCTTTCTCTGAGTCTGAGCTCCTCACAGCGAAACAGAAGCATCACAAAATCCAGGAGCTCTTACAGGTACTAGATTAACAGTGTTTAGAGGTGTGTGTGTGTGTGTGTGTGTGTGTGTGTGTGTGTGTGTATGCATGTTGACATCATCATTTGTGAAGGTTCAAAGAGCTGTCCACCTCCTGAGACACTCCTAACCCCTACGGTACCACTGTACAAGAACACTCTATCAGTATGTCATACAGTCAGAGCTAATGAGCTAAATCTCCCAACAGTGGAGGAAGGCAAACATAATCACACGTTATAAAAACAGTGTCCATCTGGTGTTCAATGTATTGCGGCTCCTGGTAAAGTCCTAGTTGAAGTATACAAAGGCTGATCAGCAACATCTGAGATGACACTACATGAGCCACACTGGGGGTTTAGGGAAACCAGGAATGTGATTAACATGAGCAAAGAATTTCCAAGAAAAACATCAAAACCTATTCGTAACCTTTTTTGACTGCTCCAGTGCCTCTGAGCTTCTGCTCCTATGGTGGTGTACAGTCCACCCAAACATGTCAGTATTCTTCATAGTGGAATGATGGCTACTATGGTAGGTGAATAATCTGAGCCTTTCCCCTGTACAGGGGTAAAACAGGTGTGTGTGCTGGCACTTGACGCTTTTCAACATCTTCCACCTATCCATAAAGATCTTGAAGACAATGTTGGGTTGGACTTCCAAATGATGGCAACCTCAGAAGACTGCAAGGAACTACCAGATAGTCCGGAGACTATGCCCTTGAACTGCAGTGTTCAGATGGTTGTGCCTGTGTAGCTCATTCTCTACACACCTGCCTTGTGTCATACTGGAAGTTTCAAGCCAAGTACAAATAAACTGTAGCCATGAAATAATGAAATAATGAACTTGGTCAGCAAGTACTTTCAGATGAACAGTGCAGTACAGATGTTCTTCAGTGGATGCAGTGCAATGAAAATATACACCATCACACAAATGTACACCACCACCAGCATTTACTGTTCAATACCTAACCTATAGCTCACACCACACTTTTTACATTGGTCTGAGATAAAAAAAACCTGTATCGGTCCAACCAGGCAACCTTGTCCCCAAAGGTCAGCGATTCAGTTTTGATGATTCTGTGCCTACTGGAGACACGATTTCTTGTTCTTCTCTGACATCTGCGTCCAGCAGGGCTTTTGACTGTTGTATTAGTATGTTTTGAGATGACGTTGTTCACACTGTTGTTGAATTCAGGTCTGATTTGCCTGGTGACCTGCATGTTTGCTTGCATGATTCTTGCCTTTCTCTTTTGATCCCTCTGATCCACAAGCTGTTTTGGTCCACAGGGTCACGCATCACTGATAGGTTTTTGCACTACTCTTGGTAAATTCTTGCAGTGATTGTGTGTGAAGCCCTGGATTGAGAATCTGGGAGGTTTATTAAAACATTAAAACATTAAGGTAAACTAATTCCGATCTTGCAGGTACCAAACACTGTAATTATGTGACATGTCACTTTTGGAATGTGCAGTTTGTCAGGAGGTGAGGGATGCCTGAAAACCTGACAGCACTGTCTTCAGCACATTCTGAGAATCACCTCTGAGAATCATGACTGTGTACCCCACATTGAAATACTTGCAAAGACCAACTGAATGTCCTCCTGTTTGTCCTATACACACTCTGTAATTCAGGGTCACTGCGATGTCGCTCATCAGCTTCTGTAGCATCACTTTATCTAGGACTTTACCAGAAACAGCAAGGAAAGGCAGCCCCTTCCCAGAGATGGACTTCTCACAATTGCTTTTATAAATTCTGATGATGCTGAAGCTGTAGTGGCCTTGGCACAATGGGTACCTCAAAACTACCTGCCCTGTAGATTGCTGTAGGGCCATCTCCACCATGGCCAACACTCAGAAGGAAACACAAGTATCAAAGGAGGGGGACACTAATAGATGATGGACTATGTCAAACTAGTAAGCAGACCCTGTATTATGTGTTTCTAGTACAGCAGTGCTGACTGTGTGAGTGTGTCTCTGCAGCAGATGGAAGAGGTTTGGCGGGAGGCTCGGTGGATGGTGGAGGTTCTTCAGTGCGCTCGCTATAAACAGCAGCCTGCAGGTGTGAGTCTCGGCTCCATCATCGACTTCACCAAAGAGAGCGTCCCCGAGAAAACACCCTCTACCTCCTCTCAGCCTGACTACCTGCCCTCACCTGTCCCCTCACCTTCCTCCTCACCGCACACTAGCCGAAAACACCCTGGTGAGAAATTCCCTCTGCCCATCACTTTACTGACCCTTCAATAGGCCTGGGTGATTAACTGATGATGATCATTATTCAAATCAAACTCTTTGTCTACTTTAATAATGCATGTCTTAGGTATTTATGATGATGCTGTTTTGTACACTTATATAAGCGCAAAGCAGCAGGACAGTCATCACGCCATTCGATGTTTTCAGTGTTGATATTATGAAGAGTAAAAAAGAGTTTAAGGAAAAAATCTTGGACCAAGAAAGCAGCGCTGACCTGATTTGATTTTATGAAATCAGAAGCCATTTTATTGATAATCTTTGAGCTTTAAGGAAAATGAAACATCAGTAACAAAACAGATATGATTCACTGCCTCTTCACCCTTTGCCCTCTGTTGCTCGTTGCTCTGTTGCTCTTTCTACTGACTCCTCATTCTGTCAGCTGCCCCAACTCTTCCACTGCCTCTCATTCTATCAGCTGCCTCTAATCTTTCTACTGACTCCTCATTCTGTCAACTGCCCCAACTCTTCCACTGCCTCTCATTCTGTCAACTG